GGGCTTGTGGTTAGTCTGCCTAGAGGGCTATGCTGGTTTTTCGCAGGCATGGCTGAGAGGAATACCACATGACACTTGGTGCTCACCTGTTGGTCTGCCTAATGTCTCCCAAGCAGTTTTGGAGCCAGTGTCTGGTGGTGTGGGAGCCCTCCTGTTTTCTCAGTGTAACATGGCATGGAGAAGCTTTCCAAGAGCTAGTCGTTCAGGTATTGAAGGTTTGATTCTTCTTGGTGCTCTATTTCCACGAAGTGTAGTTCCAGCATCTCAGGAATATTTTTGATTTACAGCGCTCATGCTGTCTGCTTCTGCATCCTAGTTGCCATCCTGGGTCCTCTTTTCTTAAACTGTTTTGACTATAGCCTTCACGGGCCTGTGGGCAGCAGAGATGTTTCTTTCCTGCACAACAGGATTGCTTTACCTTCCCTACAGCCTCCAGAATTAAGCTCCACAAAATAATTTTGAAGCCATAGAAAAAGATTGGTGATATATCTCAATGACAGAACACTTGCTTAGCATGGGCATAGCCCTTGGCTTTATCCTAAGCACTTCCACGTTTCTTTGCACCTCCTCGTCCCAGGTGGTGGTTCCCAGCCCATAGTGTTGCTATTGTTAATAAAGCTGTTTAAATGTTCTGTTCCAAATCAGTGATAAGGGAAGAACAGAACCTGCCTGGAACTGAAGGAGATAAGGAAGTGGGGGAGGGGGACAAGGTGGCAAAATGACCCAAACAATATGTGCACATGTGAATAAATGAACAAAAAAATAAAATAAATAAATGTTTTGTTCCATGTCGTCTGAGGTAAATAAAGGTATGCAGGACATAGTATTTCATGCCTGTACTCAGGCTACTCAGGAGGAGTTTTTGAGCTCATAATGGTTATAAATGTAGTGGGAATAACAGTACTTTGTATTTTAAGAAAATACTGCAAATTTATTCTTTTGGATGTTTTCTTTTTCATGTGCTTTATGATATTTACTTGATGCAGAAAAGTGCTTAGCTTTTAAATGGCTCAGGTTTTTAACATATTCTCTACTGGTATGTGCTCAAAGCATTCTGATATTGAATCTTCTACTTGTTTCAATAAGGGATTACCTTATTTTTAGGTATTATTGTTCCCTATATGGCTCATTGAAACAGTCTTTTTTATGAGACTATCATTTTTGTGTATTTTATATATTACTCATAGTTTAAATGAAAGGATGGTGAAGAAAGAAATGAAAAGACACACAGAAATGAATGCTGAAACAATATATATTTTATGGAACAAATTGATAATATTATGTTTTTGCAGTATTGGGTTTGAACTCAGGGCCTAAACCTTGATTCATTGCACCAGCTCCTTTTTCCAGTGGGTTTTTTTGAGATAGGGTCATCTGAACTATTTCCCTTGGTTGGCTTCAAACCATGATTCTCCTGATCTTGGATTCCTCGGTAGCTATGATTACAAGCATGAGCCACCAGCACCTGGCTGATTCAAATATTAAAATGTTGAGTTCCTTAAATATAAAAAGGCTCTAAATGAACCCTAATAATAGATTACCATCACTACCTATTAACTGTTACTTTACATCTAGTCAAATCTGTTGAGTTTATGAAAAAAACAAGACAATACCTCATTCCTTATAACTCTGAGAGCTGTGAGAAGACACCCTCTTGAGAGAACCTACTGATGGAATTTGATATACTCAGGGATACTGGACACAAAGTGGCTTTGAATTGCAGCAAGGTAAGAAGTTAAAAGGAGATGGGGTAGGGAACAGGCTGAATTTAGGTGTTTGAAATTGAATAAAATATTTAAATTGAAGAACCATAATTTCAATGCAGAGCCCCATAATATGTATAAGCTGGAGGGAGTGAATTCAATGTAGGTTTTACAAAAGTTCTTACAATGTATCAAGTATGTCATATATAGTGATATATATTCAAATATAACATGAATTAGTACTTCTTAAAACATGAAATAGGTTGATACACATTGGTTTATGGTTAAAATTGAAGTCTGGAAGTTATTTAGAAAATGTTACATGTTATGTCATCAAGGAATTAGAAATTGAGGTGAAGGAATCAAGGGAAAGAATTGCATGATGTAAACTTGGCTTCTGGAGTCAGGGGAGAAACCACTCTTCTATGTTCTTTGTTTCTAGGAATGTAAACTCCTGGGATCATGATACTATACAATTTCTTGTGTAACAAGGAGCTATGGACATTGAGGAACACAAGGGATTTGTAGTCTAAAAATAATAGGCTTGTGATCACCTCACTCCACAACCCTACCCCAGTGAGCAAGCAACACTGGAGCCTACTTCTAGAGAGATGCTCTTCCTTGAGAAGGTGCCCAAGACTCAGATAGCTTGTGAGCATTTAATGAGAACACATTTTCTATTGTGAACATTTGGAAGGGATGTTCAACACCATTCTTCTGGAAGACAGCCAGGTAACAAAAATTCTCTTTGTTGATGCTTTGGAAGTGAGGTTATATTTATATATCTTAGTTATTTGCTGTCTAATTCATTTCACTGTTGTATATTTATTCATATATCCATGTCAAATTAACATTAGTGTTATTGGTATATACTCCTCATTTTTCTAAATGAACAACTCATAAACATTTGCCCCATATAAAATTTATCATGCCAGGGATGTTATCTTCATTTCTTATTTCTTCAACTGCCCTGACACATTGCTACCTTGTAAGTAATGAATGATCTCCCATCAAACCATTGATGACAGACAATAAGAAACAAAACAGGAAGTACGTATAAGAGTCCCATGAGCAAACCAGTGTTCTATTCTGAGTGCTTTTGCTGTATATATTTATTTTTTTTTAATTATGGAATACTTAATAAATTTACATATCATCCGTGAGCAGGGACCATGCTGTTCTTCTTCTAATTTTAGAATATGTGCTACTAAAGTAAGCACACTGTACTTATTTCTTATAGTGTATCAAGCCACAGTTTTTTCAAGATTTACTGAAATATAATTGCATATATGTTGGATATACATAAAGAGTGCAACATAATGATTTCACATGTATATACCTTTTAAAATGATTACCACAATGAAGCTAACTACCACATCTATAATGCAATTTCCATAGTAAAAATAGGCCAACCAGGTTCTAATAGAGTTGAAAAATTTTTCCCCTTAACAATGTGTATGCTGAAGCCTGGATCACATTCAGAGTGTGTAAATCCAATATTTAAATTAATGTTAATCTGTGTCTTAACTACTTCTATTTCTCTGAAGTGAGAGGACTTCTCTACAATCACACACCTACCAACAATGCTGATCATCTTATAATTATCTCTTCTGCATAAATCTGTTTTATCTTGTTCTATTTTCTGAGGACCAGCAAATCATTTTTACTTTCATGTGTTTATTATTAATTGACACATTTAATTCTTTCTCTAAATATTTGTTTTTAAAAATGATCTGCTACCTATTGCCTTAAAAGAAGGTTTCCCTTTGGAAGAGAGAAATATCACAGGTAACGTTGCCTCATTTCTGATAAATTGTGAAAGGAGATCACTTGTATTTACGAAGGGGAGCATGAACTTTAACTTTAGTGGCAACATTCTGTAGTCTTTGCTGTTGTATACCTGGAAGGATAATATATACATAATAAATGTAATTTCATATGAAAAGGTAGAAAAACCTTGAAAAGCAAGGAAGGTTTAGAGGTTTTTCTCAGTAAAAAATATTAAAATTACAAAAGTTCCTTATTAAAACCAAGTGATCATTAAGGAATGTCAATTCTGTCCTTGCCTGAAGTTTGGTAGAGATTGTTCAAGAGAGTTAAATGAACAGTTAGAATATATGAGGTCTTACCCAACCCACAAAGACCTGATGGCATATTGCATATCCAGTACTTGACCGTAACTTACCTAAGTATCCCTGTGGACACAAGGGGAGATGGCAAGAATTCACCAAAAATTTCCAATGATTTTGAGGCAAAACAAAGTTTGTGACCAATTGTTCTGGAAGGATATATCCCATAAAGCCATTCTCATCTTTTTGTTTGTTTGAAGGCCTGAAACAATTGAATGAAAATCCATTCCTTATGCTTTATTTTATTTCAGACATTTAGCACAACTCATGAAACATAATTGGCTATCAGCAAATTTTGCTGTTTTAGTAACAGAAGAAGAAGAATGAACTGTGGCAGACAAGAGATAAAAGAAAATATAGAAGAAGAAAATTTGTAAATATTCATTTGATTTCAGAAGAGACAAAGGAATTTTTGCATTTAAATGTACTGGTTATTAATATATAGCTTTTGCCAAAATCAAATGGAGGAACCACCGTACTGATTTCCATAGTGGCTACACTAATTTACATTCCCTAGAATATATCTGAAGGAGTACAACTCTGCGTACAATGCAGATACCTGCACACCTACACTAATAGCAGCACTCTCCACAATTGCCAAACGAGGGAAATACACTAGGTGTCTATCAATTGATGAAAGGATTAAAAATGTGATCTATGTGTGTGCCTGTGTGTATGGTTCTCAGACATAAAGAAAAATGCAATTATTTCATATGCAGATCTAGACTTAAAAAATAGACATGAAGGTAAATTGGTGGGACCAGTAGGTGGTTAAAAGTGGAAGGAGGGGTAAAAAGAGAGGGTGAATGTAGGGTAGAAAAGACCTAAATACTTCATATACATATATGAAAATGGAATGATGAATTCATTTTTTAAAATGGGACATATACAGGAAAGAGTTGTGATGGGGTTTATTTGACCATATTGCAATATATGCATATGTATCATAATGAAATCCATTTGCAGTTAATATATAATTTACAAAAATAGAATATATAACTACTAAGAAGAGGAAAAATGGAGAACTTGTTAAATCATATATTTCTGGTCTTCATGCTCTGAGTGTATCAGCAATAAGGCTGGAGTGGAAAATAAGAATTTGCATTCGTAACACTCTTAAATGTTTCTGCTGCTGTCCATTTATCTCATTTTCTATTGCCCCATCTTTTTTATCAGATTTGTCAACATCATGCAAGCTGTAAATCAAACAGCTTTTTCACAATTTCTTCTTCAGGGACTGACAGATGATCCAGAGCTGCAACCCTTACTCTTCTGCTTGTTCCTGTCCATATACCTGGTCACTATCCTGGGAAACCTGCTCATCATCCTGGCTGTCAGCTCTCACTGCTGTCTCCACACTCCCATGTACTTCTTTCTCTCCAATCTGTCTTTTAATGACATCTGTTTGAGTACAACCACAGTCCCCAAGATACTGGCAAACATCCAAAGACAGAGCAAAGTCATCAGTTACTCAGGCTGCTTCATCCAGGTCTACTTTGTCTTGGTTTTTGTTGGATGGGAAAACTTTCTCCTGGCAGCAATGTCTTTTGACCGTTATGTGGCCATCTGCCATCCACTTAGGTACATGTCCATTATTAATACACAGTTCTGCATCCTGCTAACTTTTTTCTCTTCATCCATTAGCATTGTAATTGCACTGCTGCACACTTTAATGTTATTAAATCTGTCTTTCTGCACAGACCTTGAAATCCCCCACTCCTTCTGTGACCTTACACAGATCATTAAGCTGGCCTGTTCTGATACTTTCATCAATAACTTGCTTTTATATTCTGTTGCTAGTATATTATCTGGTGTTCCTCTGTCTGGAATCATTTTGTCTTATGTTCACATCATGTCCACTGCCTTAAGAATGCCATCATCAGAAGGAAAGTACAAAGCATTTTCTACCTGCACTTCTCACTTGTCAGTTGTTTTCTTGTTCTATGGGACAGCTTTTGGGGCATATATTATCTCTGCAATTACTTACTCCCCCAGAAATACTTCAATGGCTTCACTGATGTGTTCTGTGGTCCCTCAAATGCTGAATCCATTTATCTACAGTCTCAGGAACAGGAACATGAAAGAAGCCCTGAGTAATCTCATGAATAGAATAGCTTCTCTTTTATGATGTCATTTGCTTTGGTATTCTAGAATAAGTCAAAGTGACAGGATTGCTTGAGAGCCATACTAACAGAAACTTAAACCACTACATCTTTCTCTAAAATGACCAAGTCAGGTAGTTATTAAGTATATTTTAACCTGTATTGTAACTTGCCATTTTTTCTGTTTTTTTGTACAATTTTGTTATTTTTATCACATGACTTGAAACACTGACTCTAGTATTAGCAAAATTTATGAATGCTCACAAAAAAGTTGGAGAAGGTGGACAGGGCAGGGATAATATGTACACAACTCAAAAGTCATACTTTAAAACAACATCCACCTGATTGTATAGTTAAGGCTGACATAATATTTTTGAATTACTCCTACTGTGAATCAAAATATTGCATCTCAAGACTTGTTTAATAGCTACTGGAACTTGATATACCAAATCATATCCTTCTGAGAAAGGAAAATCCACCACACTCAGTTTTTTCATGTATAAAATTGGCATAAGATAACATCAATGATTGTGATAGTTGTGAAATATTTGACACCAGTAAAGATGGGATCAGCACTAAAAAGAAAAGAAACCCTAATATTAATAATCTAAAATAACAAAATGTAGCCTTTAATTAAATTAACTTTAGAGCAGATAACATACAGGAATATAGAGTAAGGCTTCACTCAGTCATCTATAAGGAGTTCTCAATTTAGGACTGGTTTTTCTCCAGCTCATCAGCTCACAGTAGCAAAGGTAGGTACCAGGTCCCGCTGATACACAATGGCAGAGACAGGAAACTGAGTGTCCTTTTCTGATCCCATTGATGGTCAACTTCCATGGGCTGACTATATATCATTGCTATAGTACACTGAATTGTGTTCACCAGTATTTTTCCAAATCCTGTCTCAGTAACTTGTGATTAATTTATGTGATAAATTTATGTGAAAAAAAGGGGAATTTTCACAATAAGGGCTTAACATGGATTATAATTTTAGATCCTAATTATAATCAGATGTTTTACTGTAGGACAAAAGGGAGAAAACACAGAAAAGATAAAATGTTTGTAAACATGTCGATTGAAATTTGACTGATGCATCAGGTATTTGATTTCTAGTGTTTGACCATTTTTGTTTTAAGAAACTGTTACTTTCATAGACTTCTGGAGCACTGAAATTCCTAAGCATATATCTTTATATAATTTACATAAATATGCTACTGTTTAACCTCATTAAATATTAAACATAATGGATGAATTTCATGTGTTCTTGGTATTCCTATCAATGTGCCTCAGAATCAATTTTGTTGTTGTGTTTAGCAGTTATTCATTTACATTCAATTCTGTTTATTTTTATATTTTGTGTGGTGACATTAAAAATAAGGATCATTTCCTTAATTCATGATGAAATTTAATTTCCTTTCTCAGTTAGTAAAATGTAGGTCCAAATGAGACCTATAAAATTGGTTAGTCCACTCATGGACTAATGGAATAGTGGGTCAATGGTTTATTTCTGCAGTAGATTTGTGACAAAAATACGACTGCAGTGGCTTACTTTCTGTCTTGCCAAGATGCACTGTAACATTTTCAAACTCACAAAAGCCTCCACAAACAAGAACATTCTATACAGATAGGGCCACTCAAACTTGGACTTTCCAGCTTCTAGTATTATAAGAAAAATCTGTTCCTTCTGTAAATTATAAAAGGCAAAGAAGGAAAAGAAAATGATACAGATTAAATAACAAACAAACACAATACTTTGTTAATAAAATATTATGAAATAACTCAATGTAAGTTGAATAAGAATGGTGCAGGGTAATAGAGAAAGAATAAGTAACAGAGAGGAAAAAAGGTGAGGAATGATAAAGAGGTGAATCTAATTAAGATATATTGTATAAATATTTGTAAATGTCACAATGGACACCCTCTGTACAAATAGAATATGCTAATAAATAAAAAACAAAAGAAAGGAGAGGAGGGGTAAGATGGTTGAGAAGTAGAGGCTTTCTCTATTTGGCCCCATGAATAAGGATTAACATAATGAAGAATGGGTAGACACCTGAACAGGAAGGACAGAAATATAAAAGAGATCACACTAAAGGTAGGGCTCTTATTGAAAAGGGAGGATAATTGAAGAAAGTAAAGAGAGTGAATAAGGCTGTAGTTTCTATACAGCCTAATTCCATGAATATGGAACACTGAATCCTATTGAAGTCACCATAAGAAGGAACTGGAGTGGAAAGGGTAATTGAAGCAATTAATCAATTTGGGGTATACATGAAAATGCCAGTATTAAATCCCTTGCACTAACAAAAATTTCCTTTTTAAAAAATGAAGGACAGGAAGGTGAAACAGGTCCTATCCACTGGTGGATGTTCGTGGGAGAGACAACATAAGGAAAGGATGAAAGAAGGAAAATATGGTGAAAGTATTTTGTATTCACATATGAAAATAGAACAATGAAACCTTTTGAAATTGTTCTAATAAGAGGAAGGGGGATAAAGGAGAAAGATGAACATAGTGAATCTAATTAAGACATTGTAAGCACTTACATAAATATCACAATGTACTCATATAATATAATATTCTAATCATAAAAAGTGAGATAAAGCAGAGACATTTATGGAAGAGCAAAAGAGAGCAGAGCATGGGGAAATATGAGAGTGATAGAATGTCTGAAAACTACCGTGAATCAAAAAGATGAGAGAGAAAAAGATTGTAACACCCATACCTGCTCCCCATAGTGGAAGAAGAAGCCTAGTCCTCCACCTCAAGGTAAGCCAGGCAGCTTCCAAGGAATACTGGCAGAAATACTTCTGTGAAAATTATTATGCCACCCACAAATTCTAACCCCAGAGTGGGGATATCAGGAGACCATAAATTTCCCCTAAATGACAGACTAGCAACAAAACTGGGTTCCCCCTTATTCCCCATACCTCAAAGAGCTGAGAGAACCTCCTCACAGAGTCTGAATTACTCAGAGATACTGGACACAGAGTGGCTTTGACTTGCAGCAGGCTGAGAAGGTGAAAAGAACTGGGATAGGGAACAGGCAAATGCACCTATTGCTTAAGAAAAATCTCCAAAGCAAAGAAACTAGCCCTCCCAGTCACAGAACTCAGAAATTCGAAGCTCCCTAAACCAGGCAAATTTGGAAACAGATAAATCAAGGAGATTTGAAAAATCACAGCCCAGAGAGCTCTGGGACTCTCAGATCCATTGTCCATGTAGGAATGAAGCAAGTGTATCCATTCTCCCTACTCTTACTCAACATTGTACTAGAATTCCTAAGCAGAAGAAAAAGACACAACAAAAAAAAAAGGTAAGTCACAAGTCAAATTATCACTATTTGCAGATGATATGGTCGTGTAATGAACAACCCTAAAAATCAACCAAAAGTCCTTGGATTTCATAAGCATGTTTAACAATGTAGTAGAACAAAAAACTAGTACACAAAACTCAATTGCATTTCCAAACACAAACAACAAAGAATCTGAAAATTTAGATCAGTAAAACAATTCTATTCATGTTAGCTTCAAAAAATTAAAATATCTAGGAATAGATTTAATTAAGGAGGTGGCTGAACAATAAAATTAAAATTATAAATCTCAAAGGAAAGAATTAAATAAAGATATTAGAAGCCAGAAGGACATGACATGCTCATGGATCAGCAGAAACATTATTATGAAAATAGCTACACCACCAAAAGCAATCTATATGTTGAATGCAATCCTTATCAAAATTCCAATGACATTCTTCACCAAGATAGAAAAGTAACCATAAAGACACATGGAAGCACAAAAGATCTTCAATAGGCAAAGCAATCCAGAAAGAAAAGACTAACACTGGAAGGATCACAATGCCTACTTCAAACTACAGACACAGTAATAAAAACAGCATGATTCTGGTACAAAAGTAAATATGAAGGTCAATAGAATGAAACAGAAGACAATGACACAAGCCCACACATCTACAGCCATTTAATTTTTGATAAAGTAGCCCAAAATATGAGTTGAAGCAAAGATAACTTCCTAAACAAATCATACTGGGATGACTGGATGTCCATTTGCAGAAGACTGAAATTAGATCCCAGTCTCTCAACTTATAATATTATAAATTCAAAGTGGATTAGAGATCTTAAGATAAGATCTGAAATTGTGAAATTACTCTAGGAAAAATAAGCAACTCTCTAGTCCACATAGGTAATAAGTTTATGAATAGAATTCCAATACCTCAGCCATTATGAGAAAAGAATGACAAATGGGACTGCATAAATCCAAAAAGCTTCTGCAAAGCTAAGGCAAATGTCACCAGACTGAAAAAACAGTCAGTAAAATGGGAGAAAATCTTTGAAAGCTAAACATCTGAAAATGGGATTATCAGAACATTCAGGGACCTCAAAAATCTAACCCACTGAATAAATAGGCAATAAACTGAACAGATAATTCTCACAAAAAGAACTAAAACTGGCCAATAAGTACATGAAGAAATGGTCAACATCCTTGACAATTAAGGAATTGCAAATCAAAATAACATTGCGATTTCACCTAACCCTGGTCAAAATGGCTATCAACAATAACACAAACAGAACAAATTCTGGTGAGGATGCTGGGAGAAAGGAACACTTCTACACCGTTGGTGGGAATGTAAATTAATACAACTATTATGGAAAACAGTATGAAAGTTCCTCAAAAACTAAAAAATAGAACTACCATATGATACTACTCCTGTGTATATTCCTAAAGTAATGTTCTCTAGGACACAATAGAAACACTTGCACACTTGTGTTTATTGATTATTGTTCTCAATAGCCAAGCTTTGGAAACAGTCTGGATGTCCCACAACTGAGGAATGGATTGTTAATACATGATATATCAAGAATGAATGTAGAATTTTTAAACCTGTTGAAATCATCATAGGAAGAGGACTAAAGTAGAAAGAAGAAAAATGGAGGGGATTAACCATTTCTGGATGTAATATGTACTTATGCCTATACATGGAAAAGTCATAATGAAGCTTTTTGTATTTT